CAAGGGGAGCGAGACACATGGCCATCCCGAGTGCTCTGAATGCAAGTCTGTCTCAAGCAATCGCAGCTTCCATTCTGGGTGGTGGACCTGTCAGTCTGCTTGGGCTGCCATAACAAAACCACAGGCTGGTGGCTCACACAGCAGAAGTTCATTTTCCCACCGCACTCAAGGAGAGACGTCTGAGATCAAGGTGTCGGCAGGTTTGTTTTTTTCCGCGGTCTTTCCCTTTGGCTTGCAGATGTCACCTGGTCTCACCTTCTTGCTGTGTCACCTGACCTTTCCTCTGTGCATCCTGAAAACCATTTTTTGGTTTTCATTTAGCAAGTGACTAATTCAGTATCCCCCCAAAACGCCACACACACACATCCAAGACCTACCCACCCTCATCTGTTTCTCAGAAATTGCCACCAAGTAGATCTTTCCCACCTGGCTTTGGTGCAAACAGCTTGAGCTGTATCTCTGAGCTTTGGGTCATCTATAAATTGCAAAGCATGCATTCTGTAGACTCCATAAATAAATTAGGGGGTCAACAGTGTCCATAAAAATAGGAATAATTAATCTAGCCAAGAGGTAGAAGGTAAAGGTGGTGAGAGGGTGTTTCTGATAATACTGCTAACGTATCTAATAATATTCTCAAAGGGATATTTTCAAATCATGGTAAGGAACATGGGAAGGGAGTTTGCCTAGACTTAATTTTAAGCCATAATTACAATGAATTATTCCATTAGCTCTTGCTTTTTTCTTTGGACAGTTACCCATTTCTTGTTTTGTATCTAAACCTCTTGATCTTTTTCTCCCTCCTGTCACCAGTCAAGTCCCATTTTGTCACCGTTTAACATTCTCTATTGGACAGTTTGGGGAGAGGTGACATTGCATTCAGCTGGCTTTGTCACTTAAAAAAAACTCTGATAGGTGAGGGAGGAGATTAATATTATCGGTCTGTTTCAACTTCTATTGCAATGGCCTGAGTTTATATCAACAAAATAATCACATCTAAAACTGAGGAGGAGCTGTCAGGGGAAACATAACAAGAAACCCTGGTTTAGGGAGACAGGAGAGCTGGATATATTTCGTAAACCTAAATGTTTTAAGATGTAATCCAAATATCCTGCTTACTTTGGCTTTCCTTTATCATAAAACAGGCCATCCTTTGTGCCTTGGAAGAGACATGCAGACTGCAAAAAGCCATCTGAACTGCCCAGAAATGTCTTTAATCTTGACCATTTTCAAAACAGATCGCCATGGTGAACAATTTTCTGAGGACTTCTTACAATGCAGAGTCTGTTCAGAGGATGCTGATTGCAAAACCTCTGTACACAGGGCATAATGAAGGGGGAAAGACAGTGCACAGTATTGGGTAACTTAAGAAAAAGGACGAAAATTCTAGGGGAAATGAAAGACTACCCAAGTAGCAAGCATGTAGCTGCAATGATTCAGAAGAAAGGAAGTGCACTAGTAACTCTTCCAGGTCTAACACAGACCAGTGCTCATCCTCAAGCACTGCAAAGGGTCAGCTTCTAGCTGTATAATAAGCACAACTCTAAAGGGATGCATGTAAAATGCACTTAACCGTGATCGCATCGAGGGACTTTCACTCGTCTTTCCTGAATGATATTTAGGTTCTATAATTTTCCATCCACTGTTCTTTTCCTTAGAACTATAAAAACCCCACTCACTCGTGAGATGGCAAGTGTGCTGTATCCTGACTGTTTATTCGTGCAGGATGTGGATAGAGTAACCATTTAGTACTGCTGTGAACAGGCTGCTGAGTTAGGCATTTAGGAATGCAGATGGAACCACTGCACTGTTGGATTCTAGAGCTGACTGTGTGTGAACAGGAGCTAGGAGAGGGAGAAATTCAGGCCCCCCCACAGCAGGACTCATCGGTACCTTTTGCCCTCAGATCCATTGTTTGGGCTTCTGCTGCTCTGCTCTGCATCACAGGAGGCTGACTCACCTCCCCAGGCTGTTCCCAGGCTTTTGTTCAGGTGCCTCGAGCTGCCTTTGGAGATTTGGAGATTGGACGGTGGGAAGAGGGGAGAAGAAGCCGGGGTATTCCTCATCTTCCTTCTCTGGCAGTGGCTTCATCTCTTTTCATGGCTCCAGCTTCCATTGGATAAGCTCAACATGATTCCCACTTTGACGGGTCACCTTATCTCTCTCTGGCTTAAAGGGGGTAGCAGCTTACAGCTATGGACAATATTGGGCTGCTTCATTGTCCCCTACTGAGCTAGCCTTCGGAGTCAATATCCTACATCAAATTCCTTCTGTTGGAAATACTCAGAGTGGTTTCTGTCTCCTAATCAGACCTTGAATGATACAGCTGATGTAGACATTAATTGTCATTTATTAAATCATGGCTTCCTTTAACTTTATATAGAAGCCCCTACTTTTATTATCCTATATAATAAAAGGCTAATATGCAAATTGTCCCCTTGGGAGTTCGACCGGGAGACCGGGAGTTCGATCGCTTGCTATGACATGCGCTGACCACTAGTGGGCGGTGTGGAACATGGCGGCAGTGGTGGAGTACTGAGGGAGCAAGGGAAGGAGGCAGGGAGGCTGGGAGGCGGAGAACCACGCGGTGGCTGTGTGTGGGCGGCAAGGGAAGGAGGAAGCGGGGAGGTGGGGAACCTGATCGGCCCTGATCGCTGGCCAGGCCTAGGGACCCTACCCGTGCATGAATTTCATGCACTGGGCCTCTAGTTTTTATAATAATAGCAAATATATATAGAGAGAGCACTTTACACATATCAGTTAAAAGTACTTAGAAAGTCACTAAGCAGAGGATAGCTACAACTTTAGAGGGAGCAAACTCAACTGGACTAAGATGGTACATTCCAGAGGCGGTAGGATAAATGACTTGGCAAACCACAGAGAGAGAGAAGTAAGCACAGACAGTGAAGTTAATCCAACCCAGAGGGGGAGTACTTTTGTATAATTTTTAGGACCTGGGAGACAGGATATGTGAAAGTCCTCTATATAGCTGTAAATGTGTGCATATATACATTGTTCTGTTATCTTTGAAATGTAGATAATGATATCTTATTTACTTATCTTGCAGAGAAATTGATTATGTGAATGTGTAGTTTAAAATTCATGAATGTTAATACAGGTAATAGCTCTTTGCTGAAACCCCAATCTGTTTCCCAAATTTACACAGAGAGGGCCCATCTGAAGTCACTGGTGACAGGAGCAGGAGCAGGAACTACGATTGGCTAGACCAGCCGTGGGCAAACTACGGCCCGCGGGCCGGATCCGGCCCTTTGAAATGAATAAAACTAAAAAAAAAAAAAAAGACCGTACCCTTTTATGTAATGATGTTTACTTTGAATTTATATTAGTTCACACAAACACTCCATCCATGCTTTTGTTCCGGCCCTCCGGTCCAGTTTAAGAACCCATTGTGGCCCTCGAGTCAAAAAGTTTGCCCACCCCTGGGCTAGACAGACTCTCTGGTGGTGCCTCCTCTCCTCTCCAGCCGGTAAACTGCTGCCCCCAGAGTGGTTTGGCTGCGAGAGGGTATCAGCTGGGACGTTGTTTAGCTTTGCACGTGGCTGGTTTCATGCGTGAGCGACCTGAGCAGCTGCAGTTAGAAGGGTCCCACGCTTGGTGTATTGCTCTGTTGACAAAGTCTTGAAATTCTTAATAATTTCTTAACAAAAGACCGTGCATTTTCATTTTGCATTGGGCTGGGCAAATTATGTAGCCAGCTCTGGCTCTAGCACCCATTTGGATATTTGCCTCTTCAAATAAACAGGAATGAAATTTACCTGTGGTTACATACTGGCCCAGGACTGTGCTTTTCTAGAACTGTCCCCTGCCAAACTGTTCCTTCTCTTGAATATCCATCTGGTGAGCCCACTATAAGTTCCAGAAACCTGGCTGGGTCTCCAAAGAGAACCCTGCTGAGTTGAATTTGACCTCAGCAGCGTTGCCAACAGGAACTTTCATGTTGTTACAGGTGTGGCAAGACTTCTGTCCTGCCTGATGCCAGCCAGTGGTGTATAAAGAAGCTCCTGACCCTACCTGGTGGGGGGCCTGGGTTCCCCAGAATGCTTTCTTCCGGAATGGATAAAGGACAGATGAAAGGGGGTCAGAGAAGGTTAGAAAAATATATCAATCAGAAATCAATAGTGATTTCTCGAAAATGAACTTCTACCACTGAGTGCTGCTTAATTGCCCTGGGCATCATTTTCCTCATCTGTGAACGGGGCAAGTAGAGAAGGTACCCCCCCCCCGCCCCCCCCCCTCCCACACACATTGTGTCAATAGACAAGGAGTATGCGTAGTGAAAGACTGCATACTAGTAGTTCCTGGAGCTTAGCAAGTGTTAGCATTTATTATTAAACAGCGGTTCTTAATCATTTGGCTCATGGGGCCCAGGGAAAACTTGATGATACTCATGGTTCTCCTCCTCACCAAAAAAAGTCACCCCCCAAAAAGGATCTTGCAGAAGATGCCAGCTTTGACAACCCTTGAAGGCGGTCCCTGAACCCAAGTGAAGGCACGTGCCTCTCCAATGATCATTTAGGCGGTAATATCTCCACGCCCGCCCTCGAAGTCTCCACTCGTGGCTCCCAGACGATGGCCACCTCACCCCCACTTTGCAGGAGGCTTCTCCCCGCGATCTGTC